TACTAGACTGGAAACTGTTGTTGTAGGCAAACTCCACTAATGGCAAGTGCCTCTCCCACGTCCCACTGAAGTCCAGGACACAACCCCGAAGCATATCCTCAAGGATCTGAATAGTACGCTCGGATTGCCCGTCAGTCTGAGGATGATAAGCCGTACAAAAGGTCAACTTAGTGCCCAAGGCACTCTAACATGCATCTAGGCTTTATTTAGCTAAAACCCCAACCTTTGTAAATTTACACAAAAGCCCCAAATTTTCACAAAATTACCAAACCAACCCCGACGTCTCAAAATACTAAAATTTAAAGACAAAGTCCATAGAGAGGAGTAGGATATCCCTACCTCAAAGTTTGAGCTCCAATGGAGATGAAGACCAAAACCAAAATGCTCCAAATCCCGAAATTTTCAGATTAAAAGATAGCCCTCGACGATCAACACAACTTTCGTAAAGACCAAAAGTGAGCAAACAACTCCTACTAGATCAAATCTAAGAGAGAAGGGCCGGTTTTAGAGTGAGAAGCTCTGAAAATGGCTTTTTTGGAAAAGTAAGAGAGAGGAAAGATCTTGAAAAAGTGATCCAAAAGTCGGATCTCGGATTTATATAAAAGTCTCCCCGCTCGAGCGTCACTCACAGACTCCCGCTCGAGCGTCAACAATCCTGCTCGAGCGGCGGATACACACTCCCAGAACTTTTACAGAACCAGGTCTCCGCTCGAGCTTCTAACTCCCCGCTCGAGCGGCACTTACACAACCCTGCTCGAGCGGCCAACTCCACGCTCAAGCATCCAACACTGCACATGAAATACTGGATGGGTGCAATTCCCGCTCGAGCGCCAAAACCCCCGCTCGAGCGGACAGGTCAAAATCTGGGCAACTAGTTTTGGTTTCTAAACTCAACCAACCTGTAACAAACCTGCCCAACACATCCTATAACTCAAATATGAAGTAAAAAGGATGTAAACAAGATAATAATCAACTACCAACATCTACGGACACATGTCCGGATCACTGTACAACAAGGGTAAATCCGGGATCGCTATATACAGTCTGTTCCACATGTGTCATTAGTAATGTTACAACCATACGAAAATTAGATCGACTATTATATATTTCCTAACATTCCGTTATTACGCATGTAACATAATTTGTCACGTATGTGAAGGCGCACCAATGCCAAATGGGGGTCCTCATCCCCAACCATTAAACCATCCTCGTCATGTTCAACTTCTGGTATGGCATTTACTATTGTCATAGCCTCTTCTTCATCACAGATTGGGTGAACAGTTGCTGGGTTACCTGTGTTTCGCTGTATATAATTATGTAATGCCATTGACGCACCTACTAATTGAACTTGCACATTTGCAAAGTCATATCGAGGCATGTCTCGAATAAAACCCCATCGATTTTTCCAGGCACCGAAAGTGCGTTCCACCACACTGCGTAAGGACGAGTGCACTTTGTTAAATAATTCCCTTGGCGTGTTTGTCGTCGTGTTCCGTGCAATACGTCAGAATTCTTGTTGGTGGTAACGGTGGCCTTTGAATGGTGCTAAGTAACCTATCCGGTTTGGATAGCCAGAATCGACAAGATAATATTTGGCTGCAGACATGACAACAATGTATGACACCAAAACCGAACATTGTGCGTCATTTTCAAGTAACGTTGTTTCAAAAAAAATTTATAGGCCCCTAAATGTAATAACATCGCCATGTGTTACCTTCGTTAGGATATGGGATGGGAACATTGCCATTTGTTAGTATCTCGTTGAATATGCGACTATCATGCATACTTCCTTCCCATCCGCACGAAATGAATATGAAACACATGTCAAAATCGACTGCGGCCATGATATTTTGCGTGTGACAATATTTCCTACCGAAATATGTTGCCGCATCTGGCCCCGTAACCCATGCACTTACATGTGTTCCGTCTATTGCGCCAATGCAGTCCTGCAAACAACCCAATTGTTTTGTTGCTTAAATGGGTAACAAGTGTTTGGTTTTTTCCATACGTCACGTCCAGTTAATAATAAAAACAAAATAACTGACACTCTTTATTTATATGTCAATAATGTTTTTCAGGAGTACCTTGAACGGTAGGTATTTCCGTCTAGACCGCACGTATGGATGTATACGTTGCTGACTGTATGTGGGCCGGCAATGAACAACAGTGAACTCTTTCATGGAAGTTAATACATTATGCACGTGCCGAGACACAGTCTCCCCGGAATGTTGAAACCATTGTTGGATTTCCCGATTTTGCTTCTTTTTCAACACATGGATAAACATTGCAACGCTTTCTTCAACAGCTAAGCCATGTGGACGTTGCGGGACTTGTAACCCAAAATCATTTACTAATGTCTCACACAATGCGGCAAAAACTTCCTTCAGCATGCAAACATTTTCCTCAAATCAACCCATATGGCCCGCATATAGTTCGCATATCCATGCATTCCCGGTCAGTATAGAAGTGCAACACGGCGTTTTATCCATGTGTTTTTCGTACCATTCTGTCGCATACTGGCATGCTTGTAGAAATGTGCAGTTGTGTTCTTGTTGCACCTGGACCGCCATTTGATTAAGCATTTCCGTTATTTCATCATTGTTGCTTCCATCCTAGGGATTCATCGTGTCTTCGTTGATGCGAAACCTACAAGAGTGGCACTCTTTCAATCAGTTGGCACGTGATTCATTGACTCAAATTATATTGAAGTTTGCAATTAAAAAATGCCGACATTGTTTTTAATGTAAGTAATGTCGTCACCAATGTCATTAGGAACGCATAATCATATGAATTGCACAAAAAAGAAAACCTGTTCAACTTCTGCTTTACAGGGGGACCATGGGGGTAACAACCACAAAAATAGCCAGCAAACTAAACTAACAATTCAAGTTGCGGAGAAGTACGGGCATTCAAAAGCTAGTAAGAAAAACATAATTCCCTGTCTAAAAAATAGCCACACAAAATATTAAAACATAAGCATCCCATTCATTTCCCAAAAATGAAGCACAACCATGCTTCTGTTCCGTCAACCCATGCACTTAACTAAAAGTTTTGGTCACCATAGCTAGCAAGAAAAAAACAAAAACGACAGAATAAAAACATGCACACACCACCATCATGTTTTAATACAGTGACAACAATACCATAAGTCAAAGTTTTAAAAAGGAAGACAAGGACAGTCATCTTCAACACTCGTAACACCGCTACATCACATCCAGCGACCCCCAAACAAGTTTACAAAAGGCGCCGACGTAGTACACTGGAGCTGCTTCTGTGTAAGCCTCCCAATGATGTGGTCGTCATCAGGCTGGCACATCATCACCTCCCGGTAATCAGCGTTATCCATAAGTGTCGAGGCGAAGTGGAATAACGGCGTACCAATCAGGGATGGAATACTCGTTAGGCAATGCATGCACTCCGAAATAGTGTACAGCGATTCGTTGCCTGTGAGGTGCCTCACCGTAACCTATTGATTCTTCGTACACACCACATCTGTCAGATTGTTCATGCTTTTTGCAATAACTGACGCTCCACTTGTTGCCTTCTTCGACTTTGAAACACTTGTTGATGGCGTCTTTCTCCTTTTCCCCTTTTCAATCAGAACATGCTCCAGTGAAGAATCTGAATCCACGTCCTGTACTCCTATGGGTATCGGATCAGCAAATGGCTGGGCTTCCAAACTATGCACTGAATCAAATGAGTCATCAGCAGCTTCAGGAAGTTTCTCTCCCAGGCTCCAATGGTGCTTCCCAGTAGCTGATGCCCCCATGAAGACCGTCTCCATCAACTCACGATGTTCCAAGGTTTTTTTCCTGAACTTGGCGCACACCTTGTTTATCTGCAGAAATAGAGATATATGAAAGATGAAGACGTTACATTTCATAAAATTAATTAAAAGTAAACTAAACAAGTAAAAAAATGTACTGGTAAATGACAAATATGAAACTTGTTTGTATATGTACTTACCGATTCCATCTTGTCCCACCACTCCTCAGGTGCCTGAAACATACCGGTGTCACTGTCAAAGTCTATCCCTGACACTCCTTTGCTTGAATCCATCAACTTTGTCCACGCTTGCCACTCTTTTTTCAAGCTCATGTACTTATTCTTCAACTGTTTCAGTGCATGTTTTCTTCTCATTTTTTCTCAAATTTCCTTGCCAAGGACTTGTACCCTGCTTGGCTGAGGACTAGGAATGGGCGATTTCCTTTAGTAATCTCTTTTGGAATCAACTGTAGGAAAACTCGGATTGAGTCACTGTCCCATGAGGCCTTGTGGCTGAACTGATGTGTCTCTTCAAGACTGCTTGACTTGTCGGTGACAATGCCTTTTCTTTTCGATTGGGTACGCGGAGAAGTACGTATGGAAGCCATTACTAATGTACGGTTACAGAAGATTACCATCAAAAATTTTGTTGTTGTATACAAACGCGTAAGCCATTACACATTACTAACAAGAAACAGAGAGATAGGATGCTAAATTAGGGAGCATATAACCATTGCACAGTAATAACATACGTACATAGGTTCCATGGAACTAAGTAGTGGACATAGTTATGATATTCATTAATACGTCGTTACATTTTGTACTAACAAAGGAAAAGGCAGCTTAAAGTCATACTAGAACATACTACGAACATACTAACAACGTCCTAACGTGTTTGTACATACTAACAACATCCTAACCTTTCTTACATACGGAACAACAAAATGACAACGACAATGCATAGCACATACACAATGGTCTTAAGGACACGCAAGGATTGTTGAATGTCTATGACATCAGCCCGCAATTGCATGACAAGTTCGTCTCTGGGTGACGCATAGTCTTGGTTGTCTGGCCTTGGTTCTTCGCACCAACCAATCCAACTGACACAGGGATGATCAGTGCACATGATGGAACTATTAGTGAATGGGTTGTTAATGTTCATACAGTTATGACCGGTAAAGAATGGGTGACTCACCACAGGGCGGGGACATGCATAGTAGCGACGACCTGCATTTTTGGCGGACCTGGAAATCTTAACAAAACAGGGGCCATGTCCACAGGCACACATTCGTCGTGGCCATGTAGTGGAAGTTGCAGTAGAGGTAAACGAAGCCATGCTATGATTTACAGACAATCGATACAGACAATCGATACAGACAATGAATCATGTAAGTAATTAGTTTATGTTATCTGTGTATCAGGTTAAATATTTTCTAAATACAATGTTAGTACATGTTTCAATGGATACGTATACAAACTTCAACTTCCTTCCGTTTATTTTAAGGAAAAGCAGCCTACATTCTCATGGTTTCACTGTGAAGGTGGTAATAGAATGGTAAATCTGTAATTTGGTAAATTTAGATTTCAATGAACATAACAACAGGGCATGAACACTGTGTGTTTACATGACTGAGATGAAGAATTCATGATCAAATTATATTATTACTTTTTTCCTACTTATTATTATTATTATTATTATTATTATTATTATTATTATTTTTGTTATCTCCTGATTTTTTTTGACATTTCCGAATAATGTATTGATATCAATAATTTTGAAGATTAAAGTTTGTCTCCACATGCACACACAAATTAGACTTACTTTTTTTAATGAAAAATACAGCATTAATTTATATATACTTAGACTACATCAACTGAGAAAGAGTTATATTGAACTGGTTTCTGTATTAGCTTTCAATGAAGACTGATATGAATGAAGAAAGCAGAGGGTCTTATCCGCATGTAACATAATGAAGGTAACAGTGTTTGAAGAAGTGATGTTCAATAACGATAACCCAAAAATGTGTCATTTGTTTAAGAATCAAGACTGCTTGTGAGGAGTGTTTTTTGGAAGAGAGATGGAGACATTTTTTTCACTATTAACAAATCAATAGGTAATTCAATTTTCTTCAAATCAATAGGTATTTCACAGATGGAGATCGTCTCCAGTATTGACTCACAAATGACAGAACCCATTCAGACCATGTGTTTTCCTTATTCATTGACAGACCATTTCATAACTCATCAATAGGTAATTGACATATGATAAATGAAGTTTATCATGACAGTGATAAGTAATCAAATGAATTTTGTAACAGAAATTGATATTCATTCATAGAATTGATGTCATCAGTCAGCAGTTGAATGCCATAAATGTGAAATTGCGATCTGAAATTGATAATTTGCAATGTGACTTCTAAGAAGAAAAAAATTACAGAACAGACTGTTTTGAACAGAACAGGTGCCAAGAACAGAACAGGTTGAATATGAATATGACTGTTTTTTTTACCATGGGTTGATCTACATGAAAATATAAGAGCATATACATATATCTGCCTTCAAACCGAACAGATTTATATATAAGAACAGATATATATCTGCCCGAAATATGTGAAATGTAACCGTAATGAACCCAAACCGAACAGATTTTATAGATTTTCATATAAGAACATATATATATATATATTAAATTATATATATATATATATATAAATTATATATATATATATATATATCTGCCCCAAATGTGTTTGTTAGTAACCGTAATGAACCCAAAACGAACAGATTTTATAGATTTTCATATAAGAACAGATACATAAATAAGAACAGATATATATTTTTTTGTTATATATATATGTATATATATCTGCCCCAAATGTGTGGGATGTAACCGTAATCCAAGATAACCGAACAGATTTTTAACATAAGAACAGATATGGTTTAATTTTTCAAAGAGATATATATATACTTATATATCTATCTGCCCCAAATGTGTGTAATGTAAGCGTAATCAACCCAATCACGACGGTAAAGAAACAGATCGGTCATGAACCCAAGCCGTTATGAAACCATACTATGCAGATCGGAAGCAGGGGCCACACAGACGCGAAAAGGGAAACGAAATCAGTTAGGCCATAAAACATTACCTGCAGACCGGTTTGTGTTTGAGAGGGTTGGTTCTTGTTCGCCGCCGCGAATGCGTACTCCGGTGCCGATCACCTCTGCAAAGGTAGTTTAGATGTCGTCGTCGCCGCTGGTATTTACGAATCACCTATTTCGCTTGTTCTGTGCCGTTTGGGAAGGGTGTGTGTGTTTTGGATGAGGCGTTGTCCCTCAGAATAAGAGGGATCTCTTCAGGGTATTTTGGTAAATTTACACCAATAAGGGTTTCAAACATACCCGTGAATACAGTTTTGTCCGAACGTGGCTAAATCAGCCTAATTTGTCCGGACATGGCTAATTTAGCCCAAGTTTTGCTTCCCAAACGGTGCCTTAATAACATTGGAGATGCTCTAAGCAACCTTGGATATCCATGATAGTATCTTCCTTAATTTTACTATAAATGGGGCACAGAAGCAAACATCCCTCCTTGAAGTTTGTCTTCAATAGAACTTCTGTATTGTATTACATTTTTTATGATTAGGGATGCAAATTTGGCCCAGCCCGGCCCACAATTGGGCATAGGTTTGGGTTTGGACTGAGTAGGGCCTAACTATTTTTTTTTTATCAAAATAGTTTGAAAATGACATTGGGCCTTGAGTGGACCGGGTTTCGAACGAGCCTTGGAACGGGCCGGTGGGTCAAGCCCTAAAACACATGGCCCAAGCTCAGAGTCACAGACTAAGCTTGGGCCTAGGCAAGCCACTCCGGGCTGCTAGCAGGCTACAGGTGGGCCACGGGCCAATTTAACACCCCTACTTGTGATCTTTCCTCCCTTCTGAATTGTACTTCCTTCATGGTTGGAATTTTTTTTTTTTTGGGTATATGAATTCAATGTTCTTTGCAAGTAGGGTAAAATCCTGAGTCTTGTTTGTATTGTGCAAATATATCCAAACTAGCCCAAAGCTGATGACTCTCTTGTATTTGCTTGAACTAACATTGGACATAATCCTAGTGGCTTTTGGGAGCGAAGGAGCCAAGACTAGCAGAAATTATCATATAAATCCATAATACAACTTAATTATATGTCTAACTAATGGTGTTTTATAATGTACTCAGATTATTCTTATTTTTGTGGACCATGTAAGCACAAACAATAATTTACTTGAAATTACCATGTAAGCACATTATTTAAATTAAAACCTAGCTATCAATTTTAACTTGCAGTGTTAAAAATTAATCAACTACAATTAATAATAGCGATGACACAATAGTTAACATGAAAAACCCAATTGAAAAAATCTCTAAAAAAAAAAAAATAACAATCACGATCCCAATGCTCAATAAAAATCTACCATAATGAATCAAGAGTACAAGACATAGATGAAGGACCTACAACCACTCACCTAGCTTTACCTATCTCCCATGTCTTGACAAAACTTCTACGAATGCAGCCTAACCCCATCAGCCTTCTTGATTTATAGGACACCATGAAGCTCCATGGATCATCAACCTCCGTTCTTGAACGGCTCTGGTTACCACACCGACCACAAGTGACAGAACAATGCAATGCAATGATACGAGGACTCTTTTTATAACAAAAATCACTTAGAAAATTGTCACAGAAAACATGAATCAATCTCAAAAAAATATTTTTAGTAAAAGAAAATGGTTGTACTTAAAATGGATTATGAAGAGTTTATATAAAAATTTAGAATATCATATCCAAATAAGGAATTTTCTTAGTTTCACTTGAGTAGACCTTTCCAGTGGCCGCCATTATATGTTACAAAATGTCCACTCAAGTGCCTAATGATTGCAGGCCACTGATAAAATCAGTCAAAAGGATTTGAATCACAATTGATCCATGGGGGACTCAATTGCTTGACCAAAGCCAATGAGATGAAGATTTGAAACTTTCTCCAAAAACCTTTTGTTTAAAATAGACCCTTCCAAAATCCTTTTTCAAATACAATCTAACATGTATGCATAAATATACCTGAGTAAGTAACTAAGCAAAACTCAACTTGATTCCGATGTGATGACCAGACAGAGCGTGAACTTATAACCAACGACCCATACACAACTAAAGATCCTAAACTCCATTACTGTGTGATTTGTCACACAGAAATAGCCAATCAATATAAAGAATTGAACAAAAGAAAAGAATCAATAAAACAAACAAAATGATTCATTTTAAGATTTTCTGGTTTTTAAATTTTGAATTCATT